CTGTCCTTAAATAGAATAAAAAATGAAAATTTTAGCATAATACTTCTGTTAAAATGTTGTATTGTGTCAACTAGGCCTGTCACGATAACAAATTTTGCTGGGCGATTAATTGTCTCAGAAATTATTGCGATAAACGATGATATTGTTTGAAATTTGACAATAATTAGTAATTATTGTCAAATTTAAGAAGAAATGTTTGTTCATTTGTTTTGTGTCTAGTATCTTTGTTGACCACCACATGGCAGTATAAGACTGTTTGAACCCAAGGATGGATAGTGAGGGAGCGAGCAACGTGTCTTTAAGAAAAATGGAAGGGAGGCCCCTTGACGTGACATGGGCTGTCTCTCTTCGGTTGAAGCGCACCGGAGTTGAGCCTTTTGTCATCCGGTGTCGAAGAAACGATAAAGCCGATAAATGAAAATGAGGTAGATAATTTTAATTTATCATGCGATTAGTTGATTTATTGTTTATCGCGACAGGCCTAGTTTCAGCAAACTAACATGAGGGTTGGTGTATTCTTATTATGTTTGATATTACTGTCAATCTTCTTTAACAAGCATTTGACTACTGATGAAGACTCCTTGAAGAAGTGTCCCATGCCATAGAAGACATTTTTTAAAACCCTGCGCGGTGGTCGTATAGGCTCATGAGTGAAGAAATGCTACGGAAATAAAATTCAGCATTAGGATATAAACTTTATTCCTTCAAAACATCCATAGAAGCTCCAATGTTGGTATTATCATTCATCCAGTCTATGTTTTGGGTAAAACTAATCTTTTCTTGAGCAAAAATGGGATAGAAACCAATGCTAAATGTGATACAGAAGAAAAACGGAGGCCAAAAATGGCTCCATGTGCACAAATGTGCAGATTAGCACTTTTTAAAGTTGTATCACTGTAAAAATGAAGCACGTTAAAGTCATAACTCCATCTAGGAACTAAGAAAAACTCCTTTTAGAGTAAAACAAGATCTTGTTTTTCAATCTGTTCCAGATAATTCTCCCTGCTTTGTTGCTAAGTGTGTTTTTTTTTTTTCAACTTGTAGCAAACAGCGTGACAAACATGGGGCTGAACAAGCTGCTGCATGCTGCCAGTGACAAAACGTTGGGCCCAACGTGCGTTAACACATCACATCTGACAGAAAAACATTCAAAAGATAAAGTACAAACACGCGTTATCTATACCATCTGGTGCCAGTTACAAAATTCCTGTGAAAACGCTGTTTCGCATCGATGCCTGTGATAAAAACTTGAGGCTCAACAAGAATTAAACCGCCACACAGATTAGGTCACTTTACAAAAAAACAAGCCCTCTTTTCTTGAGAGAACAACAAGTATGAACAGATCAAGCTACGATTAAAACCGTTGATCTCTTTGTGATTTGTGAGTGTTATCCTAACTCTCTGGTGGCCTTTCAGCAGAAGAAACAGGCAACAAAAATCGACCCGCTGACGTTAAGAGCAGAAAATGTCAGTAAATCTCAACGAGTTAGGTGAGGCTTAAATAGAGCAGGTGGTGTTTATGTTGAATTTATTGAATGGAGGAGCAGAAGCGTCAGCCGCTGCGCTACACGCTGCAAAACGAGTGCCTCAAATTCTGTGTGTGAGCTGAGGGACTTAAATGGATTGCTGCCATTTTAAAACAACTTCATTACCAAACATTTCATTGCGGTTCATGCAAACGCTACTTTATAAATTTTTATTTTGTCACCAACTTCCTGTTACTGTATTTTTTGGCCTATAAGTCACAGTTTTTTACATAATTTGCATGCCCTGTGACTTATACACCAAAGCAACTGATTTATGTTTTTTTTTCCATATTTATAAAACAATTTTTGGCTGAGATATGACCATTTCCATTCATTCTGACATTGAAAATATTGAACACTACCATTTTCAGCCACTAGATGGCATTCGAGCTGTATTGCATGCCGCTGTGTCATGTAATAGGTAAAAGTGGCTATTAACGACACAATCGGCTTGCCGTAGCTGCCACATTGATCCAGCTCACCTGGAGCATCCATTAAATCTGCTTCATTTCGCTGCGCAGCCCCAGCAAAATGAAGCTGATTTGACCATTGAAGTGCATTTATTAAGTAAAAGTTCAACAGACACACCTTTACTATAATGTTGAGCAAAAAAATAATTAATTTAGGTGCATCTTGTTAAATTTTGAAGAAATGCACAGATTTCCTCCTTCCTGATTTCCTCCCTCTGCGCGTTCCCAGAGCACTGAGGCAACAAATACTTTTGAAATGCAGCTGATTTGACCATCAAAGTGCACTTATTAAGAAAAGTTAGACTGAGACAGAACTTTACTACAATTTTAAGCAAACAAATAATTGTTTTTAAGTGTTAATCTTGTTAAATTCTTGTTAAAGTCCTCCCATGCATGCTCCTGCGGCTGCCATTTGGCAGCCAATCAATTTCTGGCACAACACCAGTCCACATTTCCAGGTTGTCAGAGGTGACACATAATACATGTGACTTATATGGTGAAGCGACGTATTTATGTTTTTTTTTCTCCACTTTATTAGACATATTTGGACTGATGTGACTTACACAGCGGAAAATATGGTACGTGGTTAGTCTGCAGAAATATTTTGATATAAAGTACAGGTTGCATTGGAAGTGCGACAGTTAGCTGCCGTTTTTGCAAGTAACCATAAAGGGGGGAGATGAAATGTATATTTACATTCATCACTTCACAAACGTTGAAGATTCTGATTAGATATTTAAACATCAAAAATCCACGTTTTCAACGTTAATCTGTGGTGCCACTTTAGGAGAGCCAGCGGTGTCTTAGAGGTACCGTTTGTCCTGTAGAATTACCGTAGCTTCCGGTAGTAAAAACATGTTGCAGTAAACCAGGGTGTTTTCACATCTTATTTACAGTTTCTTTGCTGAACCCTGAAGAATAAATGACTGTAAATAACAGTTGTAGTATCCAACATTTTTCTGTAAGGTCATCTGGACAGTTTCTTTTTTTTTTTGTGCTGAAACGTTTCACCTTCCATCCAGAAGGCTTCATCAGTCAAGGAAACACAACACAAAACTTATTCTTCCCCCAACAGCTTACTCCAAAGTGGAACAAACCAGTTATGTTGGTGCTAAGATGGTCTCTTTGGCACACCCCCTCCTCCGGTGCCGGCCCTCTTCCTCATTGACAGTCATGTCAAACTGGTTCAAAACCAACAAAGTCCATGCTCAATAATCCAGGTATACAATCCAACAATTTTCAATCAGGTCATCTGGACAGTTTCTTTTTTTTTTTTGGTGCTGAAACATTTCACCTTCCATCCAGAAGGCTTCATCAGTCAAAGAAACACACAACACAAAACTGATTATTCCCCCAACAGCTTACTCCAAGTTGTAGTCTCGGTTATATGTCCCTGTGCTGGACTTGCAACCTGTCCAGAGTGTCCCCCTCCTTGCACAATGAGTGCTTGAGATCAGCTCTCTATAACCAGGAAAGAAGTGGGTAAAGAAGATGGACGGGCAATAGGTGAAGTTATCACAGCATGACTGCCCTTATTAACGACTTCAAAACGTTTGATTTGTGTATAAATGTCCAGCTAGAAACACAATGCCAGTGCTTAATTTGAGCTGGATCCTGCTGGAACAGGATCCAGGAACGCTAGTATTTTGACTGTTTGCTTGAATCCGGTAAGTCTCAGGCTTACTAATAATGAAGTTATGAACAAATATGACTGCCTTGAACAAAAAAAAAAAAAAAAAAAAAAACTTATATTGGATATCCATCCATCTCATCCTGAGCATTTCATTGCATTGTTGACCTTGTGTTGACCTGCATATGACAAGTAAACTAAACTAAACTACACTACCGGTAATCGTATCGCAGCCCACTGAATCATAACTGGATTGTGATGTGCATTAAGATTCCTAACCCTTGTAAACAACTATGTAACCTGAAAATGACGTTCTTGTGAAAGTTTAGAAAATAATGTTTGCATGAACAGCTGTCAAAGTTTTGATACTGAAGATATTTTAGTGTGTTGGCTTGTCAGCTTGGTCTTAATCCAATCTTTTTCTCCAAAATGGGGCTGTTGAAAGCACTATCTATAGCAGGTGAGATATCAAATGTTCATAAATCTTTCACATAACCCAAATTCAGAACATCCGAACTGTCATGAGTGAAGTAGTCATATCCAGGACAGAGTTGATTCAAAACATATTTCCGTCACAGTTAAATCAACTTAAAGCCCCAAACATTCAGATTTTATTCCTTTTAAAATAAATGGATTCATCACTTCTCCCTGTTTATACACCTATTTTCACTTTTGGGTCTAACATTTCAAGTCTTAGACAAATACAAAACACAAAAACTTCATTAAACTCAGTTAAAAATAAACAAACAAAGGATTTGTTAAAAAAAACAAACAATGTGCAATATCTGTGCAAGATGGGGACAAAAAGCACCATAAATCATCATAACTAAACTTAAAGGAGGCTCTAATGCACTGAAAAAAATAGAAGGCATTATTGCATAAAATGTTTGTCCTATTAGTTAAATCGACTTAAATATATTTGCTAATAAAACTATATTTGGACTTATTCTGTTGAGAAATTAAGAAATGTGTGTTGCCACATCCTTAGAGCAAAGTCACCTTTATCTGCGGCTGTTTGTATCTCAGCCGTGGTCCAGGTGAATTCTGCTCGTTTTAAGGTTGATGGCACATTAAAGACAGAAACACGAGTCTGCTGGTTTTCCCAGAGTCTCAGAGGCTCTGGGGGCAGGCTGGCCGTGAATCGGCTGGTCTGCTGGAGGGTTTTATTACTGCGGGACTGCAGACATGTGGAGCCATTACTCAGCAGAAAAACAACCTGCTCGCATGGAGCTCTGCGGCACAGCTCTGAAGGCGCGCGGGACCAGTTCACAGGAGAAGTCGCTTTCACACATGAAATGTTGAGTTTGGTTTGTGTGCGGAGGGAGGGGAGGTTAATCCTAAAGTGGTGGAGGGGGGGTTAAAACAAAGCTGTACCTTGCTGTCCTGGAGCACCTTCACCTCTGCGCTCAGCTCCCCACCGGAGGCTGAAGCTGAAGCATCCTCCTGGTTCTTCTCGTCCCGCTGCGATGAGCTCTGTGCTCCCATGATGATGGAGACACGACAGCAGGTAGCAGCTGATCCAAAAAACCCTCAGCTTTAAAAAAAAACAAACACACACACACAAAGAGCCAGGAGCACCAAGAACTGTCTGCACCTCTGCGCTGCAGGGCTCAGGATCCAGAATCTGAGGAAGAAGAGGAGCTGGAAGGTGGAGCTCCGCCCCGGGACGGCCTGGATCTGGATCTGAGGAGGACCACCAAAACCTCCTCCTCCTCCTCCTCCTGCTGCTGCAGCTCCAGAGGTGAGAAGTGATGAAGAGGAGCTGAGAAATCAAATAAAAACTTTGGTGGACTTCATTCCTCTGCAGGGATCAGGTCTGACACCCCCAGAGGCTGCAAATCAGAGCAGCTTTGCAGGAGGTAAAACAAACACGAGCTAAAACAGGCAAAATGACAGCTAAAACAAGAAAAACATGAGCTCAAATGATCAGAACAAAGCTAAAACAAGCTGAAATAGGAGGAGCTAAAAATTGTTTAGCTAAAAAACAAATACGCAAAACTGTAGCTAAAATCAGCAGAACAGTAGCTAAAACTAGCTAACCTATAGCTATATTCTAAACTTTGCTAAACAATAGCTAGAAGTTAAATATAGCTGAACTGTAGCTTCCATCTAAAATTGGCTAACAGTAGCTAAAAGCAAAATAGTCACAAAACAGTGGTTAAAATCAGCAAAAATAGCTATAGTAGCTATACCGTAACTTAACCTCAAGTTAGCCTTATCTGTAGCTAAAAGCAGAAAAGGGCAAACATTAGCTAAAAATAACACTAGCAAAACTGGTGCTAATATAAAATAAAACAGTACTTGAAAGGATCCAAACTGTACACACATAACTACAATAAATGTTCAAATTAGTTAAACCATACCCGAAACCTAAAAGTAGCTAATCTGTAGCTAAAAGTGAAAAATAACAAAACTGTAGCTAAAAACTTAAATGGTAAAATTGTAGCTTATATAAAGTCTGCAAAACAGTCATTTAAATTAGCTAAACTGTAGCTTTATATTTAAATTAGTGAAGTACCAGTAGTAGCTCAAAGTTTGAATTAGCTAAATCATAGCCAAAACCTAAAAGTAGCAAATATCTAGCTAAAAGCAAATAAAAAAGTAACTAAAAACTAACATGCATGAATTTGTAGGTTAAATAAAATCAGCAAAACAGTAGCTTAAAGTAGCTAAACTGCAGCTTTATTTTTTACAACAGTGTCTTTAGTCAAAGGCTTCTTCAGACCCGCTGTAACGTTCAAGGATTCAAGATTCTTTATTTGTCACACACACACATGTGGTGCATGTGGTGGAACGAAACTGGTCCCAGTTACAGCCAACAAAAGTGTAAAAGAAAAACAGTAATAAGATATGAACTAAGAAAAAACATTAACTAAAAATACACTAAGCACTAACAGCATAAAAACATTACGTCAAACAGCGGCACGAACATGAGTCTGTGTGAGCAGGTGAGCACGCATGAACACAGCAACATGAAACAGATCAGCAGCAACACGAAACAGATCAGCAGCAACACGAAACAGATCAGCAGCAACATGAAACAGATCAGCAGCAACACGAAACAGATCAGCAGCGACATGAAACAGATCAGCAGCGACATGATGTGATTCTTCACAGTGATTATTCTGGTTAGAGATTCATGAGTCTAACAGCCTCAGGGAAGAAGCTGTTCCTCAGTCTAGTGGTTCTGCACTTAATGCTCCTCAACCTCCTTCCTGAGGAGAACGGGACAAAAAGTGTGTGTGCTGGGTGAGTGGGGTCCTTCATGATGCAGGTGGCCCTCTTCCAGCATCTGGAGGTGTAGATGTCTGTGATGGTGGGGAGCCTGACTCCAACATCTTCTGTGCAGCCTTCACCACTCTCTGCAAAGCTTTTTTTTCTGCAGCTGTGCAGCCTCCATGCCACACGTTGATGCTGGAGCACAGGATGCTCTCCACTGCACACCTGTAGAAGGAGGTGAGGACTGAGCTTCCCAGACCAGCTCGTCTCAGCTGCCTGAGGAAGTAGAGTCTCTGATGAGCTTTCTTGATCAGGCTGGTGGTGTTGTTGCTCCAGCTGAGGTTGTCATTCAGGTGCACACCCAAGTACTTGTAGCTGGAGACCACTTCCACCACAGATCTTCCTATGTTCAGGGGGCAGTGTCTAGAACAACTCTTTAATGAAACCAGGATTATGAGTTACAACAACATTTACTTTCCCTTTGGGATAAAGTATTTTGAATTGAATTGGTATAAAATTAGCCAAAAAAAGTACCCAAAAGTTCAAATTACCTAAACCATAGCCTAAACCTCACATGATCTGATCTGATCAATTCAGTTTATTTATAAAGTGCCAAGTCACAACAGAAGTCATCTCAGGGCACTGAACAGAAACATTCATATACATCAAAAGTAAGTTAATACTATTTACAGTATCCGAGGAGCAGACTGCTTTGAATTTAACTTTAACTAATTTAACTTTAAGTATTGACCTTAAATCTTAACCTTAAACTTAGAATTGCGCCGCTCAAGGTGGCTGCATGTTGGAGCAGCTCTCTTACTTTCATTCTGAGATTTTGATTATGGAAACTTTAATTCCTCTTTTTCTGGATGTAAATCACATTTTGTGGATGATTGTTTCCTCTGGTATCAGATGCTGTGCAGCTGGAAGGATTTTTACTGAAACTTTTTTAGTTTTGGACATTTGTTATGATGTGTAACCATGGCAACAAGGCAGTTTTCTACGACCAAAAGCAGCTGATTAACATCTCAAAAGCTCAAATAATATCTCAACTACAGCCCCAAATCTCAAATGAGTTGAAAAGGATGTTCTGTGGACGCATTCCCATCTACCTGTCGGCTGTGCCCGAGTGCCTGACCACTGAGATTCTGGAACTAGCAGGAAACACGGCTCATGACAGCGGAAGGACAGGATCATCCCTCGACACCTACAGTTGTCTGTCCGCAGCAACGAGGAGCTCGGCAGACTGCTGGGAGGAGTGGCCATCGCTCTGGGAGGAGTTCTGCCCGGCATTCAGGCGGTCCTACAGCCCGGGGGAACCAAGAGGCCAGCTGAGTCTGGGTGGACGGATCGGACAGCATCTGCAGCCAGTTTCATAGGATCCGCTGTGGGATGGACCTTTACAAGAGATCCTTCCTGTCTACAGCCATCAGCATCTACAACCTCTCTTAATGAAATGAGGATAACGAGTTACAACAACAAATAATTTCCCTTTGGGATTAATAAAGTATTTTTGAATTGAATTGAATTAACAGATTGAAAACTGTGTTGTCTTGGGTTTCTTAGAAAACTGCAATTTGCAAAACTTACACACGAAGTGGGAACATCAGTTTAATCTGTACAAACATTGTTTGTCTTTGAACATGGTATGGTATGGATTTACAATTAAAAATACTGAGAAAAAAAAATTCAGATTTACTGACAAAGTTTATAGAGACAGTTCTTCTCGTCCTGAACATTATTGACCTTGTGTTGATCTGCATATGACAAAAAAACTTATATTCACGTGTAAAACATGTATGCCATATTTTAATTATGTTGTATTGAAAATCATGACGCATTGTGAACCTTCAGTTTACCCAATTCAAAATAAAAAGTAAACTTGCGACTTGCTATTCAGAGATTTATTTACTGCCTTCAGTGGAATCAAACTGTTATCCTTCATTTTCACATTTGCGTGCATGTTGCGTTTTTACTTTCCTTTTAATTCACATTCTTTTGGTTTTTGTGTCACAATAACTAAACTCAAATTTTGCTTTGGCCTCATTGCATTGCAAAGTGCAAAGGACAGCAGTTATGGTTTGCTGCTCAAAGAATTCACTCTCCACCTTGTGGTATTAAGTACAGACCTTCAAATGTCAACTCACACCACCTGTGTTCTGCAGTTTGGCTTGACATTTATTGTGTTAGAAAGGTGTTAAAATGAGGGCATAAGTCTTCAGTAATAAATTTGACAATAAAGGCATTGATAACCTTTGACCTCTGTGCGTTCTATCTAGAAAAACAAAGCTTTAGTCTTAGGTTTGTATTCTATGTGTTGTGGCGTCCTGGTTGTTTGAGCATTCATGGGTTGATAGTGTTTTCATCCAGGTGAGGGGCTCACATTTGTTACTGCTGCACATAATCAATATTCTAAAGATTTTTTGTCCAGTTTTCCTTCTTTCTTAAATTAGTCTTAAATGTTAGACTTTGTGCGTTGATAGTTTGTTCATTTGCTTTTAACATGCAAGTCATGATGAGGAGTGTCTATTCTGTCACTAGATTGTCTTGTCTAAGTTTTTTAAATGTTGTGGAGACTCTGCTGAGTCAGCCAGTGCGCACATGTGGTATGGACAGGATTAGCAACCATTACACTCAGTCAACTTTTATCTGTAGAATTAAGACAATTAAGCCTACTCCTCATCATGTTTGCCTGGTCCAGGCCCCTCTCCAAACATAAGACCAACTTGCAA